AATGACAATTACGTACATACACACACACATACAGTTTATATTTATATTTGTCTCAATACTTACATCTATGCCTATGTCTACATCTGTATCGATAGAGGATAGCAGCTAATATTTATTTGAGTGCTATGTGGCAGGCCCTGTTTGGTGCTTCCCAGGTAAAATCTCATTTAAGGGCCGGCCCGGTGGCGCACTCGGTAGAGTGTGGCGCTTGGGAGCGTGGCGGCGCTCCCGCCTAGGGTTCGGATCCCATATAGAGACCGGTCTACTCACTGGTTGAGCGTGGTGCGGGCGCAACACCAAGGGTTGCGATCCCATTGCCGGTCGCGGTACGGGCGCGACACCGAGGGTTGCGATCCCGTTACCGGTCACGAAAAAAGACAAAAAGGAAAAAAAAAATCTCATTTAACATAACAATCACCTCAGATAGGGATCTTTTGTCACCCTATTTACAGACCAAGAAAACTTTTCCTCCTTAATTCTTAATTTATAAATCTGTTCGGTGTCCTCTCTTCCTTTCCAAGTACAGCATTTTATGGATTTTGTCTTGTAAGGAATACAGGCGAGATTCAGTTAAGTGCCCTCTACAAAAGAATCAGAAGAGGAAAAAGAGACTAAAAAGACATGACCCAAAAAGAGGCAGCATTCTGAGACACAGAAAGAAAAATCACCTACCTATGTATTTTAAGCTAAATTCTGTCACTGAACTTCTGCATGTCCTGGGGTTCCCCTCTACAATTGGCAGGAATCTGCCACCTCTTACTTCAAGGGTCCTGAGAGGATGGAGTTTCCCAACTATTAACACTACCTGTCCTCCCATCCACTGTCTTCTACAGCACCTTGAGTGACCCTCTGAGACAGGACTTCAAGGCAATTTTGAGGAGTCCATTCAAAACCCCCAGAAATGGGCCAGCCTGTGGCTCACTTGGGAGAGCGTGGTGCTGACAACACCAAGTCAAGGGTTAAGATCCCCTTACCAGCCATCTTTAAAAAAGAAAAAGGACAAAACCCCTAGAAATGCCAAGGAGAAAGTACACAAGAAAGGCCCCATTCCAGAATGTCACTTAAGCCATAGAAAGCTTCTGCTGTCCTTGCCCAGGGTAGACAGCCAAGTCATTTCAAAGCTTCCTGGGGATGAAATGTGAGAGAAGACAAACTTCGCTTTCATCTCTAAAAACATCAAAAAACAAACAACATCAAAACGCAGGCTGGATAAAGAGGACTCCAATGTGCATACATAAGTAATGGTGCATTGATCAGTCCCAGTGGATCACTCAAGCCCACTAGGCTTCATTTGGAATAAAACTGGGGACCTGCAGAAGAGATGCACTCAAGGATTCCAGCCAGAAAGAGTACGTATCCCTTGCATCACACGACAGTGCTTCTGTCCTCTCTCAGCGAGGAGGAAGAGATGAAATGGATCAGTCTCTCAGCCTCTCCATTCCATGAGGACCCACTGAGGGAAGCCTCGTAGCTCTGTTGGTCATTTTATGAGTGGAGAAGCCAGGCTGACTAATTGAAGTACAAGTATCTTTTTCTGGGAAATCCAGTAAGGTATATGTATTAGTCCATGTCTGTTGCTTGTAACAGATTCCTGAAACTTAGTAATTTATTTAAAATAACATTTATTTCTTACAGTTTTGGAGGCTGGCAAGTCCAAGGTCCAGGGAACACATCTGATGAGGACCTTCTTTTACAGCAATGCAGGGTCTCACATGGCAAATGGCTGAGCAGGAGAGAGCTCACTTCTCACTTGCTCTCCTTTAAAGCCATGAGAACCACGCCCATTATCACCTATTAAACCATCAATGGATCAATCCATTCATAAGGGCACAGTCTTCATAATTTAATCACCTCTTAAAGGCCCCACCTTTCGATGACCATAACTGGATTCCCCATCCTCTTAACACTGTTACAATGGAGATCAAGTTTCCAATACATGAACTTTGGGGGGACACATTTGACCCACAGCAGGTATTATGTATCTTTGGTCCATGATCTGAGTGGGATCTCCTCAGCTATTAAATTCTTAGGAAGACACTTCACATCCACTAGAATGACTATAATAAAAAATGTAAAAAATGTAAACAATAACAAGTGTTGGGAAGGATGTGGAGAAATTGGAACCCTCATACATTGCTGGTGGGAATGTAAAACAGTGCAGCCACTTCGGAAAACAGTCTGGCAGTTCCTCAAAAGGTTAAACACAGTTTACCATAGGACCCAGCAACTCCACTCCGAAGTATATACCTAAGAGAAATGAAAACACATGACCACGCAAAGACTTACATATGAATGTTCATAGCAGCACTATTCATAATAGCCAAAAAGTAAAGACAACCCAAGCGTCCAAGATAAATGGATAAACAAAATGCAGTATATCCATACAATGGAATATGATATGGCAATAAAAAGGAATGTAGTATTGAAACATGCACAATATGGAAGAACCTGCAAACATTATGTTAAGTGAAAGAAGCTGGACACAAAAGGCCACATATTGTATGATTCCATTTATGAAATGTCTATAGTAGGTAAATCCGTAGATTGGTGGTTGCCAGTGGCTGTGGGGCGGGAAGTGACTGCTAATGGGTACAAGTTCCTTTTTGGAGGAATGAAAATGATCCAAAATTAGTAGTAGTGACGGTTGCATAATATTGTGAACATATTTTTAAAAATCCCTGACACGTACAAGAACAATTCTTGGGAAGAGGAAAACTGACACTTACTGAGTATAATCTGCCAGAGCTGAGCTCCAACAGGTAATCCTCATGGTAAGACTGTGAGGCTGGTGATAGCCAGTTTTACAGTTGAGGAAATGAATGTCCAGACAGAATCCATGACTTGCCCAACATCACCCAGCTCAAGAAATAAACCAACCCAATTCTGCCCCGGCCCACCATCTATGGTCTTTCTGCAGCACTGCACAAGGCTGCAGTCTTATTTAGAACATTTCCCAGTACGTGACCCTCAAGAACCTCAAGGTGAGCCTCAAGTTCCTCATCTGCCATGGCTGAGCCCTCTGGACCTGGCCCTTCTAAAGCCTGAATGCTACAGTACACGCTGACAGACACACTTCTTGTTTTCAGAATGGTGGTTGGGTCCTCAATCCACAGCTGTTCAAGCCTGTCAGACGTTCTACTGCAAATGCATGTTTTAATATCCTGTGGGGGGGTAAGGAACCTCCCCCACAGTCAGAGGGAGAGAAGCTCCCTGAGGGATGGAGGGATGGGGAGGGATGGAGAGGTCAGTAGCGGATGAGGGTCCTCCGCCCCACGGGGATCACACTACTCTCCTGAAGGTGTCACTTCTCTGCCCTGCTTCTCTCTCCTTCCATCCTGCCAGAGGCCACCACCAGTGGGACTTTTTGAGGCAGCCTCTTGAATATGCACTACCCGTCCAAGATGCCTGTGATCGTTTGGTTCCTCACAAAGGAACGGATCTCATGACTCAATGACAATCACACGTGGCTCATCTAACTCCCTCTGCTCTCCTGAGGCCTGGGGAGGGGAAAGCCATAAGCTCCAGGATTCGTATCGAGTCCCGCCTGTGTATGTTTATTAGGGGTGGGTCTCAAAAAAAAGGGAGGTGTTTTCCACATTTTTCACGGACCGCGCTGCCTTCTTCCCCTTCATGACAAATACCTTTTCTAAAATAATTCAAAACGAAAATGGCCAGCAGCTAATCCAACCCCAATCTGGATTCTTGCCTACCCACCTCCCTGAAATGGGTAAGGACAGCAGTTCTTACTTCCACTATAACCTACATTGACAAAAGCCATAAACTACCCCTTTGGTCTCGACAGTACGGAATGTGCACATCACAGGTCTTCCCAGGGAGACCCGGCACGGATCCTGGGCCTCGCTTTAAATCACCTGAAGAACCAGCACTTCCATCCTCCACCCTGCAAGGGCATCCCGTGGAGGAAATGCCCACAGGGCTGCCGAATAACCACCCTGCACACAGGTGCTTAACAGGTGACACGTTTCTTGGGCTGCTTTCAACATACCTTATTTTTTAATCACATTCTTTTGGTGGCATGATAACCTTGCTTTCCTAGTGAGAAACGAAAAGCCCAGGAGGTTGGCAAATGCAGAACCAGGACTGCAGGTCACTGTGCTGATGCCTGGTGAGACCCTCACTCCAACACTAATGGCCTCAAATACAACAATGACCCCAAGGACAGCGCTGTTTAACCACCAGCAGCTCCGTAATAAGGTTCTAAGGGGATGGCTGAAAGTCAGGAAAAGTGGGCCTGTTTTCATCTCCCGTTCCTGGTGCTGATGAGGCCGGCAAGGAGATAAAACAGAACCCTAAGAAGTCACAGATCTGCACTTGACTCACATGCGAAATGCCATTTCTCTCTTCAGATTCTTGCTGGTATGAAAAGTTACTAAAATGTGTCCATGTTGGGAGAGCATGGTGCTGGTAAGATCAAGGTCACAGGTTCAGATCCCCATACTGGCCAGCCACCAAAAAAAAAAACAGGTTTTCTTTTGGAAAATTTAAAGCAAATTGTCTTCTCCATACATCATGAGGAAACCAGCCTAAAGGCTTCAGTCCCCAGGATCCAGATGATCTGAACTTCTCCCCTACTCAGCAGCTCTCAGCCTTAGTGCCACCTCTTCTGTTTACAAAGCTCTCTCCCACGCAGTTCCTCATTTGCTCCTCTGGGGAGCAGGTAGGGCCCAGAAAGCAACAATGACATCTCCGAGGTGCCAGTGAGCAACCTCGCCAGGGCTTGAACCAACCGCTGCTGTTTTTCCACTGGGTCAACCTGTTCCAGGCACTGCTGGTCCCAGCTAACTCCTCTAGCAAGTCGTCCCTGTTTGTAGCAAACAAAGCCCCTTCTCAGCTCTGCCTTCCCAACATTTACAGCAAACAGCATGCAGTCAACACCTCCGAGCACAGGAAACCATTTGGTGAGACACGAGTATTAAAAAAATAAGCTGCGTGACATTTATTTTGTCTTGTTAACATTAATATCTGTAGAAACATTTTTATTGTCAGTATAAAAATTAACAGCCTTTATTAAATATTTTCTCCAAATTCTTAACACGTAAAATCAGTGTAATCTGCACTCATGTTGCATGGCTATAGCAAAGTGAGTGAATGTTTCGAAAGCAAAATACAATACTTTAATACAGAATGAACAATTCGGTGACGTTTTGTCTGATATAGTTATTAGGCCAGATCTTTTGGTGAGGTCCTGCCAGAATTAGATTGAAGTAATCCCTTAAAAAGATGGATGCATCCCCAAAACTATCAGCAGAACAACTCTGTGTTTCAGTTTTCTGTGATGGGACTTGAAGATCCTAAAAGGCTTCTCCAATGCCAAAGAATCTGGAAGCCATTATCAAAATTCACTGTAGAGAATACAGGCTAATCTGATTAATGTGCAACTTGGGGGCAGAAGACCAGCTGCCGGAGAGAAGTACATTCTGCCATCATATCAACCAAGGTCTGTCCTTGAGGAATGGATTAAGGCATCTTTTAAAGAGGACACTGGTACCATTTGTCTTGGAAAGTCCAGTTAAATGTTTCATTGGCCCAATGACAGAAGTGTATACCAAAACAAAACACCTTGCTATTAACAGGTTCTTTTAATATCGGCATTTAGGTGGGTTAAGAACAATCATCTGACAGCAGAGTTTAAACACAAATAAAACTTCATTTTCCCCAAATTAGTCATATATTGTAAATATTTCTCTTTTTATAGGATCTGATAACTAGTTAAGTCCAAGCAATAGATTAACTAGTCCACTGCGCTGCCTGCATAGAAATGCCACTTAAATTACAAAAAAACTATAAATGATTAATTGTTTTGTATATTACCAATTCATTAATAAATTAATGTTATACCATTTTCCCTGAAAGCAAAAGTATTTTTCCACCTCTGCTTGGTGAAAATTAAGAAATTCTGTGTAAGAAAAGCATTTAACAAATAGCTATTAAAAACAGAGAGACCAATTTTCTAGGTGCATGGGGACATCCATTTAAAATCAATACAAAAAATAATTCCTTGTAAATATATAATATATATTTATACATAATTTGAATATATTTACATACATCCAGCACCTATATACTGCATTTGTGCTCTGTAGATGTGTGCCGACATATATTTTCTCCAATTATTACAAAATTAACAAGGAAGGCAGATTGCAGGTCTGCCTTAAGTCTGACTGGTCCACGGCCAGCACCCGCGGGCAGGTCAGAGGGTCGCGTGGTGGTCCGAGGCAATCCAGTACCCAGAAACATTCTCTTCCAAGTTTTCAACTGCATAAATCTTTACACATCTGCTGATTACTTTTCCCATTATTTACTCCTCTGATCCATATATACAAGCAGAAGCAACACACTCGTGGAGGCAGGGCCCCCCAGCTCAGTGTAGGTAGGTTCCTGGTGCTGTCCCATTTGGGGACAGGAGGACACGTCCATTCATGTTTTAACACTGCCGTTTACGTGTGGATACTGAGGAAGGCATGGTTCATAAGGCATGGGGTCTGGAGAAAAAACAGAATCATCTCCTGAAGAACAGGAGCTCCTTGTGTCAGGGTAACTAGGTGAATACTGTTCGAGAGGCTGACTGAGGTCCAAGTATTCCTGAAAGAAGGGAAGAGAGACGTTTTATTTCATCTCGGGTCAGCATAACAAGGTGAATACGGTTCGAGAGGCTGACTGAGGTCCAAGTATTCCTGAAAGAAGGGAAGAGAAGTTTTATTTCAAACACAGGCTCTTGAGATGTCGGTATCAGAAGTAGGACAGGACAGGGGCCAACCTGGAAGGTTGACAGAGACCCAGCCCACCCTGACTTCCACAAAGACCTCCCAAGACCCCAACCTTAACTTTTCTCCTAGATCCCAATAAGCTATGGGCAAGCAGAGAACGAGAAGACCCTGCTGAACTGTAGGTGCAGGGTCGTCAGCTCGACTCACATGGACCTAAATGACCCACTTGCTATATATACACCTCCTCGCTAGAGCATGCAGGTCAAATTCCATCCCCAGCAAAGTGAAAACGTGTAACACACTGGGGAAACCCAGGACCCCTAAAAATAGATGAGACCATGAATATTTATTTTCTGAATTACATTCTATTATTGCCATTTCTAGGGTAATTTAAAGGGGAATACTCCTTCATTCGGCGGGTAATTTAACAGATGCGATTCATTACTCTCAGAAGCTCTCCGAGTCGAAAATGTAAACAGGTTCAAAAAAGGCTTGGATCTACTCATGTATTTTAAATCCACAATGGGCTGTTAAAGGTAAGTTTAGGAAAATATAGAAGTTTCAAAGGTTTGAAGGTTTGAGATTCAGAGTCTCTGCTGCTCCCCAAAGCATCCGTTGGTGTCACTGCCACCAAGCACACTGGATCATCCCAGGATAGCACTTCCTCTGACTTAGGACAGGGCCTGGTTTTGTACAGCCCCTGAACTAAGGATGGTTTTTTAACATTTGTAAGTGGTTGAAAGAAAAATCAAAAGAAGACTACCTAACGGCACTAAAATGACTTAAAATTCATATACTGTTATAAAACAATCCAATTTCAGGGTCCATAAGGTTTTGCTAGAACACAGACACGTTTACTTACATATTGTCTGCGGCTGCTTTCCTGCTACAATGGCGAGATGCGAACAAGACCATATGGCCCGCAAAGCTGAAAATATTTACTCTCTGGTCCCTTACGGAAAGCATTTGTTGACCCCAGCTCTGAAGCTATGAAAGGATTTCTAAATTGGGAACCTCTGGGTCTCACTGCCTCAACTAGGCTGGCACATTGGGGTGGTTCTGCTCACACACCCAGAAGCCAACGACTATTCCATGATGTGGTTTGCTGAGAGCGGGGCAGAAAGTGCAGACCACAGCACAAACAGCCACACTGTTATCAGAAAAGAGCCCACGGAATGTTGGCAACTACACATTGTGAAAGACACACTAAAAACACACTATAATTCATCACCAGGGTTGGCAAAAGAAAGAGCCCCCATCCGAGAAGGGGGATGTGTCAGTTCCAACAACATCAGCATTAACCACACAACTGGAAACAAACACACCCACCACATCAAAAGAGAACTTTCTGCTTACAATGATAAAAATGAAATTTTGTCCTAAATGGAACCATTTTTCTCGAGCATATGGTAATGATTTTCAGAAGGAAAGAAAGTTCGATTTTTATATCCGTTAGACAATATGGCATTCTGCTTTTTTATTTTAGGATACTAGATATAAATTTCAGTATGAATGGACCCACTTTAAATGTAAATATATAAAGAAGCAACATTAAGCCTGGACAGGGGATCATTAAAACAGAACTTTAGTGCTTTTCCCAGTTTCTAAATGAAGCCATAAACTTTCAGATCTGATAGGAAAAAATAGAAATATCAGTGAATTCCAAGTCTAGGGTTAAAAGAACTTATACTAGAAACAACAATTTTGGCAGGAGAAGAAAGTTGCTTTTTTTCCCCTTGAACTGTTCTTTTCCTTTCAACTTCTGAAGGTCAGCTGTGTTCATTTAAATGCAATCTTTCCCTTTATCCAGCCCAAGCCACCAGCAGTCGCACAAGATAAAGAGTTGCTGGGTAAAGGCTTCATATCACTACACTTTTTTTTTTTTTTTACACCATTCAAACTATTTTCTAAATCAGAAACTAAGTGCATCATTTTCCTTCTAAAGTATTTGGGAGATGTTAACCTTTTTTGTTGTCAAGGCAATTGTGTGGTTTCGATTTTTTTCCTGTGCGAAAAAACACCATTCCTCATCTTCAATATCTCACAATTCAGTCATCAACAATTCCTCACTGTCCTGGGATTTCACTGGACTTGGTGGGTTTCCGTCTTTCCTGCTAGGAGTATATGCTTTCCATAATCATAAAAGCCACTCCAACTGCAGGTTGGACCAGTCATGGACGGGGCTAAATTCAAGCACTGAGTGACAGAAGAGTGCTTCTTTTATTGGCATAGATTATAGACATTTTACAGAAAATAAATATTTTAACAAAAGGTACACGTCACTTAAAATCATATAAGTCACTAATTATAGGAAACTATTGTATACGTTAAACATACACAAAGAAAGATGCCGCAAGCCATGCACCACTACCAGATAGGATCACACAGGATAGTGTCATGTTATATATAAAAGCTGGAACTCCAGGACTTCATTGCCTCTGATCAAGCTAATCGGTAACAGGACGTCATCAGCTCTCATGCTAATTACCAGGGCGCAGACTCAGCCTGGCACATAAATCCAAGCTCCTTCCCACGCACACCAAAATGCTGCAACTGAACATTTCCTCCCCTCCCCGTTGTCCTCCACACACACACCCTGGACCCACCACGCTAAAGCCACAGTGCGAGCCGCCTCAGGTATGTCCCCCAGCCTTTGGTTTCGTAAGTCAGAACTCACTAAATGCGGTTCCGAGAAAAATCAAGATTTGAGAGAAATACATAGATTAACTCTGTCTGACCCCTGTGGAAAAATGATCAACTACAGCCCAGACTCCACTAGGGGATCCTGCATTTAAAAAGCTGTGCTTGTCTCCCCAGCGGACGATGGGCTTCTGGAAAGAGGTTCTTACCTCGTTGGTTGTGAGCGTGAGAATCCGATCCAGGTCTTCTACCAACTGCTTAAACGTTGGCCTCTGGGAGGGCACCGCATGCCAACAGTCCCTCATCATCATATACCTGGGAAAGACGGATTCCCTGGTCAGTTAACTCCGTGCGTCCTGGGTACACAGCTAGAGTCGGTTTGAACAGCAATATGGACATGTGCCCTTAATTGTGGAAAGGTATCAGAACTTTCCAAGCAACTAAATAAGGAGGTGTTGATTCACTTTCCCCAGAGATTCCCTACTTGGGTCCTCTGAAAGGCACTTTGATTTACATGCCCAAAATGTTTTAGGAAGACATCTACACCGTTAAGAAAGACACATCTGTACGTTTTCACCGGTAGCACTGTGACAGTGTGACCTATCACAATGGTACCCCCCTGTTAAGGCACTTTTGGAGGTAGAAGGAAAGCATATTTTTGCAGGCTGGTCTCCAGTCTTCCCTCTGCCAACAGCCCTGTCTGGACTGAAGCGACTCTACCATAACCTGCCCAACACTTTGGGTGTTGTTTTAGATTCTAGTTGACAAAGGTTTCTCAGTTTTAAAAAAAATTGGGTTTGAAACCACAACTTAAAGGTAAGGTTTTTATGAATTAACCTGCCCACCACTGGGCTGCAAACTAATTTGCTGATTAACTCTTAGATAGGCCTAGGTTCCCAGGCCTTATCTTGATTATGGGTTTCGACAGACCCTCCATGTTAAAAACAGCAATAGGAATGACAAGGAGGACAATAAATGCCTTTACATAATATCCTATAAAATGTGGCCATTCATCAGACAGCCACTGTACGCCGAAAAGCACTCATAGGATTACTGATATAAAATCCCCATGAAACGACACAATAGACACCAGTCTCTGGGACAATTGCTCTTCTTAGTTAATCCCGGAGGGGGGAGGCAGGGGGAGGCAGAGAGACTCCTTTTCAAAGCACTGGTTCTGCTGCACAAGGCACACGTCACCAACAACATAATTCCACCCCAAGCGTGAGGCAGGTTTTTCTAGAAACCAGCTCATGGTTTTATACTCAGATCTGGTACTCTGAGGATGGCACCTGTATAAATCTTTAATTCTCTGCACTAAAATATGGGTGAAATATAGGTAATCAGACCCTGGTTCCTTTGCTCTGAGGAAATGTGTCTGATGTTAATCTGTGATGGCAATTTTCAATGGTCAAAGCTCTGGAAATACCCATTCTCTCCACCTGCCATGATGGGGCCACACACAACCCCAAGGAGAGGTTTCGTTGGCTCTTGAATCCTACCACTCTGCAGGGAGGGCCCCATGGCTCTCTAGCTTGCTTCCCAACCTGTGTGTCTTTCTATCACTCTGAGGGGACACAATGGTGAGCACAACACAGTGGCCCAGAAAGATCACTCAGGGGCTGGCTCTGCATAGTTGGGGTCCCTCAGCCGGGCAGCCCAACACACCCTGTGATCTAAAGCCCGCTCCATTCGCCTCAGAATGATGTTCTTTCTTTTGGACTAGTAATGCTTGTCAGTGTAGCTATCTATCTCAGTTCTGGGATTGAGCCCAGAAAGCTTCAGCAATTCTTCTCAGAGCATGTTTGGAAAGTCAAGGGCCTTAGAAAACCGAGATAAGCCAGCAGAAGCGTTACTGGTGTGGTGAGCGCAGCGCAGGACCAGCGGGTGAGACCACGGCCCTTACAGTTCATTGGTGCAGTTTGCCGGCTTATCCATCCTGTGTCCTTCCTTCAGCAGCTTAAAAAGTTCCTCCACGGGAATCCCTGGGTAGGGCGAGCCCCCTAAAGTGAAGATCTCCCACATTAACACCCCGAAGGACCAGCTGTAAAGAAGGGAGAAAACACAGCATTACCAACCCATCTGAATCGCGGAATCCTAAACATGCCCAGTTAGGAAAATAAACACCCCTCACTTCCTAGGTTCAGAGACAAATGAGCCCTCCTGCCATTCTTCCTACGTGCCTTCTTGGCCCCTAAGAAGCATCCCCAAATGACAACAGCATGGGGGGGATGTTCCAATGGAATTTTCCATCAAAGATAAAAAGGCAAACCGCCACCACTCTTAAAGATGCTCGTCTTAAAGGCAGTGTTAGCAATGTGAGGATCTCGACTCCTAAGCTTCAAAGCCCTTTATGCTCCTGTCCAACCCTTCCATCTCCCTATGTGTGTGACCCAAGGACTGTGATCTGTCAGTATGGGCACATGACAGAGTAAGGCCAGTTCTGCGAGATAACAGCTGCCCTACAATGGCCGGTGGAGCAGGTGGGGCACAGAGGTTCTGTGACTTAATAAGATCGCAAAGGCACTCAGCACAGCGTGGGCAAAAAGATGCAGAAGTCTGTGCCCCAGATGAGTTTCATGCAACAAATGGAAAAAACCATTTATACTTGACTTTTCAGAGACCTACAGTTGGACTTTCTGAGCCTAGTTCAGGAGACTCAATCTCTGGGATAATCAGGCAGAGAATCCCAAGGTTACCTATGTCATTGCAGCTTTGAAAACTCACTCTTATTGACTCTATGCTGCTAAGTTTCAAAAATGAAACCATCCCCAGTTTTCTGCAGAGCAAAAGCCGCAGCACGACACAGGGAGAAACAGCCTCTGTGCCCCAGCCTGCTCACTGCAAAGATGGGAACCACAGCTCCTTCCTTCTTGCTGAGAGGACCCACCGAGGTAGTGCAGAACCAGTGCCTACCCCAGAAATCCTCCTGCTCACACAAATAAAAAAAGAGCTCAATTTGGGCTGACCCCGTGGCTCACTCGGGAGAGTGCGGCGCTCCCGCCGCGGGTTCGGATCCTATATAGGGATGGTCGGTGCACTCACTGGCTGAGCGTGGTGCGGACGACACCAAGCCAAGGGTTACAATCCCCTTACCGGTCACAAAAAAAAAAAAAGAGAAAAAGAGCTTAATTTTATTAACTTTTTCCTTTGGAAGAATTACAGACTTATAGGTACTTGCAAAAATAGTACCTTTCACCCAGCTTCTCCCAACAGCAACACCTTTCAAGTGAATTCCAAATCTAAAACATCAGCTGGAATCTGACCCTAATAGTATATTTTAAGTGTGTCTTAAAAGAAATATAATTTCTACTATATTTCTAGGATGTTATCAAGGATGCTAAGACAAGACCAGAAATTTTTTGGAAGAGTAATCATGGCGAGCAGGCCCTGTGGAAATCACCTGAGCAGACCACATTTCACTCAGCTCCACCCTTGAAGCACAAACCTGGGTTCGGGGAAATATGACAAACTACCTGCAAGTAGGAAAACTTTCAGGATTACTTCTTTAAGGGAGTGACGAACATGCCAACGGCTTGGCAAATTAGATAGCAGCTTTGTGGTTGCACGTCCCTGAGTATGTTCGCGGGGGGGACTTCTGCTCTGGCAGGAGGAGCGGTTCCACCTCCTGTGCTCTTTGAAGCTGGGCAGATTAGTAACAGAGCATTGGTTACCAGCCTACCATAAAATCCGTCCTTTCTAAGGCTGACTCCTGCACCTTCTATGAATGTGTGAAATGCAGCAGCCACCAAAGAACGAGGAGAGGCCAAGAACGTATAATATTTTTGCAACTCAACCTTATGAAAAAGCCAGAGAAAAGGGAGTTACTTACACATCACTCTGATGAGTGTACACTCTATCAAAAAGCGCTTCTGGAGCCATCCATTTGACCGGAAGTCGCCCCTGCAAATGCAAAGCAAAGGTAAAAACCAATATTTGAAAACAAGTTTGTTTTTGCAGGCTCAACAGGGCTGTGCCCTATTTAAGAGCTGACACTCTAGGGCTTTTTATTGGTCAGTCATTAGAGCAGAAATAAGCGCCAACTATACATAACATGTGAGATGCACAGATTTGAGCACATTAATAAACCCATCTCCTTGGATTCTCATCACCATTTTATCTTCCTAGCACACAGGCACAACCTGACCAACTTCTAGGCAAAAATTAACCAAGTAACTCCCAGCTCTAGTCTTTGCTATGCAAGTTCTTAACAAGAACCACATGAAAATCCTAGAAGCTGCTGACTATTCTGTGTCCTAGAGTGGTTCACATTCACTACAATTATCTTAAATATGCCTAAATTTGCTTAGTGAGGGCTTGTGAAGAGTAAGGCAGAAGAACAGGAATGAAAGGCGGAGCAGGAGCCCTCCTCAGTCCCTTCTGGCTCCAAACAGCTATGAACTTTCATCTGGAACATTCTGAGCCCCGCCCCACTCCCCTTCCCCCTGTGTCGTTGCCGTGGACTTACATTCGTGGTCTTTTTGTAATAGTCTATATTGTTGATGTCCCTGGCCAGTCCAAAGTCCGCTATTTTCATCACATTGTTCTCTGTTACCAGAACATTTCTGGCTGCTAAATCTCGATGAATACACTGAAATGAAGAAAGAAGGGAGAGAAAGAACTAATTGCAAAATACTCCAAGGACAAAAAGAAAAAAACATTCATTTCTTGAAATACAGTCAGAAAATTCATTTTAAGTCAAAAACTGGTTGTAGTATGCTACAGGAGACATACCACGGCTATACGATTAAGCTGGTCAACCAGGGAACCACCCAAGCACCCCAAACACAACCCTTGTGTTTATTTTCTCATTATAAGTAAATAAATAAACCAGTCACTTCAAAGAGCAAAGGTAAACTAAGTAACCATGTTCTCTTTTATCTGCAGCTGTCCGACAACTCTAGTGTCCTCCTTTCAGCTGTATACAGATCGGTATTAGATCATCCTAAAATCTTCTCTCTCAACAGTCCCTGTCCTGCCCCTTACAGCCAAACTTCCAGAAGAACTGGTTAAACTCCAGCATCACATCTTCTTCATTTCCTGGTCACTTCTCAAACATTCTAACCTGTTTTCCACCCCTGCCCCTCCTGAAGTTTATGAAGAGCCTCTTAACTGGTGGACCCAAGTGACCTCTGCCACCTCCTCGATTTTTCCCTCTCTGCAGCTTTGGACACTTGGTCTCTCACTTGTTTTAAAAACCATCCCTCCATTGAGGTCTACCCCGTTCCCTTCTCTTGGCTCCAGCCCTCCCTTCCCACCCACGTTCTCAGACTCTTTGGCTGGCTCCTTCTTCAGTCCCTCAAAATAGAGGAACTGAACCATTAACTTTGTATTTCCAGCATCCTCATGGCATCAATTCTTAGACACATACGAAATATTTGCAAATTCCTATTCCCACCCTGACTCTCTCCTGAGACCTACGTTCTCATTTTCAACTGGCTACAGGACATCCCACACTGATGTCCCCTTGACATCTCAGATCCAAGGTTTCTACTTCCCTAGTTCTTATTCTCTTTGTCTCTCGTAATCAGAGACGTATACACCAGCATTCTTTACACACTCCTCCCAGGTCCTGTTGATTTTAACTACAAAATGCATCTCCATTTGTCCACCCCACTCCATTCCCACCGCAAATCCCTTAGTCCACCACTACGCACCCCCTGCCCCGCGCCCCCACCCGCACACTGCCTGCCTAGCAGGACTCCATGCCTCCAGACTCACTCAGCCCTATTTCCACCTTCTACATTTCTACACTGCAGCGTGTGTTTCTGAAAGAACCGATAATGTCCTTTCCTGGCTTACATCAGAGGCAATGCCTGTCTACGCAGATTCTCAGAACAGTCCAGCACAACACCCGGTCCACGCAAAGGGCTCAACCTGTGTCTGCCACATACATCGGGACTAAATGCTGAAATGCTTGCTACAGGGCAGCTGAAGATTAGGGCTGACTTACAGTCCTGATATTAACTCTCTGGTCTCAGAAAGATCTAGAGAAACTCCTACTTTTCCTCTCTACAAATGATACACTTTTGTAAGCTGTTATGTTTTAGTTGCACTTTAATGTACCAAGATTTCATCATTATACATGGTAATTGGGTCCCAAATCATCACCCCCTATTTTTGGAAGAGGTAAGGTATAAGGAAGTAAGCAAACATCACCATCAAACAGTTTCACACAGATTATTGGCAAAGGTTAACTATCATATGAAGCACAGAGTCTTATCAACCCATGCCAAATCATCACCCCCTATTTTTGGAAGAGGTAAGGTATAAGGAAGTAAGCAAACATCACCATCAAACACTTTCACACAGATTATTGGCAAAGGTTAACTATCATATGAAGCACAGAGTCTTATCAACCCATTTGACAAGGTTGAAATGGGGCTGATCTTAAATAGACACTCCAAGAGTTGGCCAATTAAAAAAGGAGCAAGCCAAACCATCTATGAAATATAAATGAGGAGTTATTTTATTCTTCCCCCTCCCACAACTATTCCTTGTGTTCATACAGTTCTGTGCCCCTGCACGGGCTCAGATCAGAAACGGGAAAGCAGGAAAGCTGCACCAATGCGCCTGTCCCTGGCCAGGCTCGAGCAGGGAATGGGAGAGCTCCCAGAAGCGGCCGGGAGATGCGTGTGGGCCGGAGCCATGCTCCTGGTTTAGAAGGACTCTTTCAACTGAACTTCCAAGCCCTGGGCCAAACTGTCCCAGTGGTGTGCTCCCTGACAATATGAGCTCTGTGTGTTTGGCAAGCTGTGGTCAGAAGAATCTGGCTGCCCATGCACTGGGCTCCGGCCACACATCAGAGCTCAACTTGGACAGAGACACGGCTACTTCGACCATCTTCTCAGAATCCAGCATGGACATTCTCATCCCAGGGTGCTAGGAAACACCGAAGCCTATCCTCTGGGTGCGACAAGAGAACACTTGGAACCAACACCCAAGAAAAAGAAAATAATTAAAAGCAAGACAAATTCCCATCCACAGAAATCTGACTTCTCCAGCACAGAGAGCTGGCCATCTTATGTAACTAGGCACCTGGGACAGTTTGGCGTTCCATTATCCTACAGTTGAAGGTCAATGGGTCACTAAGGGAGGGAAGACTAACACACCTGTGATGCAGACAGTGTGCTGGATGCCTCTGTACAGCTCACTGCATTTAATTCCCATGGTGACCTATGAGATGGGTATTCTTATACCCATTTTACAGATGGGGAGCTGCGGCTTGCTTAAAAAACAAAACAAAACAAAACCTGCTCAGGTTTAACAGTTTGGAGGTTTAACTGGATTTGAGCTCACTGCATTTAATTCCCATGGTGACCTATGAGATGGGTATTCTTATACCCATTTTACAGATGGGGAGCTGCGGCTTGCTTAAAAACAAAACAAAACAAAACCTGCTCAGGTTTAACAGTTTGGAGGTTTAACTGGATTTGAGATTTGGTTAAAAAAGAAAAATTAATTTGCTTTGAGCTAAAAATAGCAAGGATTTTATAAACTGAGCAAGGCTCAAATACCCCATTACCTAACCATAGTATGCATACGCCATGGTGTTTCTTTACGTGTCTCCACTCCCAAACCCCACATCCCCACCCACCAACACACAACTGACAGCTGCCTGACGTCAGGCCCTGCGAGCTCATCTCCGTGTTCCCAGCACTGAGCAGAGCCTGGCCCAGTAAATGCCTACTGAGCTGACTGCATGATTGCTCTTTCTGTTCCCCATACCTCAAAAATCCATTATCTCTCCTGGTAGCAAAATATGTCCAAAGTCAACCTACCGGCTTCTCTCGGTGTCTCTAGATCCGGTAAACCCTAGCCCAAACCACCAACACCTTTCCAGGGTCTCAGCGCTTCCCACCCACCGTGCAAGTAGAAGCAAGAGCCATCTCTAAAGCACAAACCTGATCCTATCACTCCCCCTTCAATGGCATCCCATGACACCGACAGCAAAGTCCAGGGTCCCCGCCTGGGTCTGTAAGGCCCAGAACGAGCAGAGCCTTACCATGCTCCTGTTTCCTCCACAACACGTCCCTCAATTTTTTAATATGCTTATTCTTATTCTCACATTTACTATCAATCTCTCCTACTGTCACTTACGGCTCCTGCTCCAAGAGGTCAAGGACTCTGTCCATCCTGGCCACCTCACTGGAGAGTGGTGACCTAGGACACAAGGCATCTGGGATGCCCTAGGAATATTTACTGAAGGACTGAATAAAATGACCAGGCCAGCCCTCCTGCCACTCTTACATTAGCAGCAATGCCCTGCTGGGAACAAAAAATGTTCTCCCACCTCCCGCACTGGGAGGGCACGGAGTGACCAACGGCACAGGATCAAAACAGGCAGCCTGCAGACAGACTGCCCTCCCCAGTGTTTTATGTAGGAATATTTCAAAGCTACAGAATAGGTGAAATAGTACCATGGATATCCACATTTGCCAGATTTGCTTGTGATGCTCACTTGCTCTCTCCAACACCCAACCTCCCCCAGACACCCCCCCACACACATACACACCCACACACACACCCACCCATCCCTACTCCATACACACTTTCTGTGGCTGAACCTTTTAAGTTAGTTGCAGACACCATTGCTACCTCACACCTAATCTATTCATGTATCTCCTCCCACACTACCACTCCCCCAATTCAACATTTATAGAGTAATACTATCTAATATACAGTCCATATCCAAATTTCAATTATTCACAAATGTTCTTTATAAAAGCTGGCCCCCACCTCCCACACCACAGGATCCAGTCCAGGATCACACTCTTACATTTAGCCGTTCTATCTCTTTAGCCTCCTTTAATCTGGAACCATCTCTATACTCTTTTCTCTCTTCTGTGATAATGACATTTAGAAGCAATGTCAAATGTCCCATGTTCTGGGTCTGTCTGGTTGTTTCCTGATGCCAAATACTTTTTCATTGGCAAACTCCCCTGTGTGCACACACACCCACACATAATCACAGAACTTGAAACTGGGATTTAATCCATTTCCTAAAACCTATACATTGGGAGATTTCACAGGTTAAAAAACAAAACAAAACAGAAAACCCTGAAGAAGTCGTAAACTCTGGACTCTCTTGAAAATTTAGAAAAGAAACTACCCAGATTATGTGGTAGCTCTGGGCCATGTTCCCACGTGCCCAGATAGCAGCCGCCCCTCCAGCCCCTCCACTCTGCGTGACCCAACAGAGGCCACCTAGCTCACTCCTGTGACTCACATAGCCCGAGTGAGGACCTGAGTTTGGGACTCTCCCAGCAGCCTAGGACCCCAGGAGACAGAGGGTCCACAGCCACCAGAGAATCTTACTTCTTTGGGGACCCAATGGATTCCTGGTGCAGCTTCAAGCTCCACCACAGATGAATCCACCTCAGCCCAAGGAGGCAGTTCTGTCGCCTGCTCCCCCTCCCCTGAGTATGGGGCTAAGGAAGGGTGTCTTAGGTCATCTGAAATGCCCCCGAGGATATCTGGGCACCTGTCTGACTCCTTTCAGAATAACTCAGATGTTTAAAGTTCCATCGGAAGTGGCATGCTTGGAATGTGGGTGATTCACCTCAGGGGACCTGGCCAACTTCTACCCACAGAGGGTCACCCGCCAAACAAGAAAAAATAAACTCAGATATCCAGGACTCAATATCACTAAAACACTCCTCCGCTTGACCTTTATTCCTAGAAGATTCAATGCTATATTAAACTCATAACCCTAAACACAACACCCAAGTCTATGTCCAAAAACTCAAAAACCACACAACAAATGCAGCCCCCTAAATCATCAGAATTAAAGGAAACACCCTGTAAACCCATCGTTCTCCACCCAGAGAGCTGAATTCCCAGGAGAATCAAACCCAGCTCTGGCTCAGAGAAGAGACATCTTTTCTGCTCATCTCTGCAGCGTCCTTCCAGGTTTACGAGGCTGCTTTGGCTTCTAAAGAGTTCGTTAAACCCAAATGTGAATGATGCAATACATATTTTGAATTAGGTTGTACGAGACATGCAAGGGCTTGATCTGGCACAGAAGCACGTCCAAATTGCTTGCTTCCTTCAGACATTTTAAATTGGATTCCACCCAACCAAGTAGAAGGTGAAGGACTCACTTTCTGGGAAGCCAAGTACTCCATGCCTCTGGCCAGCTGGTAGGTGCACGACACCAAGTCCTTAAAGGTCATCTGCTCCTCGGGAACGCGGTTAATGTCATAGGAGTACTCCATCCCGGGAGGCCTCCGGGCTCGGAGGTACTCTCGGAGGTTGCCTTTCGAGGCGTACTCAACTATGACATAGAGTGGCCCTGTTGACAAATAAGAGACACTGCCTGAGGCACAAAACCCAGGATCTGCCACTGTGCAACTCGGCAAAGAATTTTCAGTTATTACAACCCAATGCTTCTGTTTGTTATTGTTTTAAAGTTTTAACATACAGAAACACATACACAAAATAGAACACTGGCACTCCAGTCTCTCCAAAATGATTATCAAAAGGCTTTAAGAAATAAAGACAGAACTGAAGGGCCCTTGTCTACCACACCCGTTCTCTCAGTGTGCCCTCCTGGAAAGCAACGGCATCATAAATGTGCCCC